TTGTTTTGTTGAGTGGCTAAATTAGATCCAATCCATTCTATGCTTAGCTGGACCAGGGCAGCAATGATGAAGAGCAAGCAATGAAGGCTAGGTAGACCTAGTAATGTAATTTGAACCCTGCCCTTCCCAATAAGATGGATGGTGTCTTCGGTAGTGGAACATGACAATGATTACGGTTTGAAGGACCAGTGGATGAAATCACCACCAATAAAACCAGCATGGCCATCCTTACAATGAGCAACAACATTAGGACAATGGCTGCAAAATGGATCATGCCATCTTTATTTCCTCACCATCTGAAGGCCTGCATGGACCTACTCAATGAATCACGTAATCCTTGCTTTGCTCCTCCCATAGGAACAACAAGAGAGGACAGTGGCTGCAAATTGGCTACAAATCAGAGATCATCGTAGTCCAACTCATCGATTCATGCAGGGCCCTTTCCTTGGCCTTCCATCTTGTTGTATAGATGGATCCACTCACCATCTTCCTCTGCCCCTTTCAGTCCTTCACAATAATGATGATGGTCTGGGAAAGGTAGAAGGATCCACTAATCAGTCTTCCTCTGCCCTTATCGCAGTCCTTCACAATAAGTAGGGTGGTAGGATAGGAACCACTCATTACATCTTACTCTGTTCTCTGCCCTGCCTTTCACAATAATGATGGTGTCTGAGGTACAATCAAATCAGCAGCCATACTAGCTACAGGAGGAACAAGAACACCGGCCGGAAACGTGGCATGGCAGTAGAGAGACACACCTTGCTCCCACCCAATACCGAAGGATATGGAGTCCAACAGTTGCCATTCACCTTCTCCTTCTCCTTATTCACCACCAACATACTGTCTGGCTTCCACTGCTCACCGATCATAACCTCCACTTCCCTAAAGTAGCCTTCCCCACCACATTCTCTCCAGGGGACCTACAACTCGGGAGGAGCTAGCACTGGAACACTACCTTGGCTAAGACCAACGGACCTTTGCTTTGACCCATCATAACCTTCCCACATGTCCTTGTCCATCTAGTCCTAACCTACCCACTGATTGGCCCTAAAGGTTGAACCGTATGGCAGTAGTAACGGCTGCAGTGGTGGTGTCAATCATCAACTATACGAAACCCCACCTTAGCTTGGAACATAGCTAACAATGGATCCAATCCAACTTCAGGTGCATCTTACCTACTGATTGGGGAACAAGAGTCAGTAGCAGTGGCAGCAGTGTTGGTGCAATCATCAACAGTACCGCATGAAACCAAGCTAGCAATGGACTAAGCATAACCCTCCTTCCTATCTATCAGCCCTTAGAGCTCGACAAACTTGCTCATTTAATTAGGATGGTATCAACCAGTGAATGGACCCTACACATAATATATTATTAGCCCGTTCGTGTTCACTCACTCATTTGATTAGGCTGGTAATGGCCTATTATACCATGATCCTTTATTCTTTCTTTCAACCCCAGAGCAAACAACACTTATTTAGGAGCGCCAGAGCCAACTACATTTTATTTAGGAGCACAAAATTTGATTGAGGGAGGTTCCTCCCTTCCTCTGTTCCTTAAGTATGGGAGGTATCTTTCATTTCATATTAGATTAAGAGTTAAGGGGGAGCACCATTTATATTATAATTATTATTTAATTAAAGGGAGGTCCCTTCCTACCTCTCTTCCTTATTTCAATGGTATGTTGGTATGTTATTTTTAAGGAAAAGAGTTAAGGGGTTCCTCCCTCCCTCTCTTCCTTAAGTATGATCTGGTATCTTTCAATAGATTTAGAGGTTAGGGGCATCCTCCCTGCCTTAGTTCCTTATTCAACTAAGTTACCATACCATAAATAAGGAAGAGAGGGAGGAAGGGACCTCCCTAAATATAATTAATATAAATTTTTATATTAAACAGGTTCCCCCATGACTCTTAATCTATTCTAGAGGAAAGGTACTAACATTAGATTTAGAGGTAGGAGGGAGCCTCCTTTTCCTTGAACTAAAATTTTTATAACAAATAGGGTTCCCCCTTAACTCTTTTTCCTTATATCAAACAGAACATACCATCATATAAGGAAGTGAGGGAGGAAGGAACCCACTTAACTTTGTTCCTTAACTAAAGTACCATACCATTTTGAATAAGGAAGTGAGTATGGAAGGGATCTCCTTAATTGTGTTCATTGAAAAGGGGTTGCCTCTATCCTCTAATTCTGAAGGGTGAGTAGATATAATTAGAGTTAGGAGCACACCTTATTCCTAGTATAAATAATTAATTTGAATTAATGGGGGGGGGTCCATACAACCAGTTATCCACAATAGTGTGATCCAAGCTGGAATGGAAGAATGAACAGAACAAGTTGATTGAATACCGAAGATCAATACCAAACTGTGGCCATACAACCAACTCTACTTGTATGGGAAGAGCAGGTGAATGCCTTGAGATCAGCATGACACAGGTTCCAACAAGGGCTAGGCAAAGTGTACTTCGAGAATGTCACAACTCCAGTCAGATCTAATATAGTTTACATACATGAATCAACTGAACAGGATCAGGGTCCTTGATAGCTAAGTTCTCTAGATCGAGGGGAAAGCAATGGAGTGGTGGAAGAAGATGAGGGTGGTGAACACTGCCATCATCCAGGACAACAAGTTGATCCACCAAATAGCCATCATCAACAGTGAAGGAAAGGACCTAGCTTGTAGTAGAAGTGGGGCTAGAGGTATGGCCTAATCATCCTAGCTAACTTAGGCATTGAACCATTTGCAATGTAAATACGATTAGCCCCAGGACGGTAAGTGCATTCTAGGCCAAGGAAGTAAATCAACATGGATATCTATCGAGTAATATCATCAATGGAATAACTATCTGTACACTAAACCAAGCCCGACTTCTCTAATGTTCCATCTCCCATGACCCAGTAAGCCATCATGATAGGATCTATATGCTCCCACATGGCCAGAGGGATAATCTTATTTCCAGCAGGATAGAAGTCCCAATAGAAAGATGTGAAATAGGGGCAAGTAATAGTCGACCACTTAATACCTGTTCCCAAGGACCTAATTTCTATTGATGGGAAAGAAGTACAGTAAGAGGAGAAGAGAGAATAACAATGCCATAGATACACGAAGTGCTTGATACTAGTAGACTATCTAAACCTAGAGTTAGTAGCTACCCCAGGCTCTCTCTTCAAATTGCCATCCGATATCATGATACCCATGAAAGCACTCAATTGGTAGTGAGTCAACTTTATGGAATTTCTAACGATCTTCGATAATATGAACCCAAGCGACTAACCTTGAGTGAATTGTTGGCCATAAACTACCAACCTTCTCTCCCTGGGATTAGCTACTACCTTAGATCGCACCACTGTAAACGAGATGCTAACTGAAATCAACTGGTCCGTTGTTAACTACTAGTAATCTAGTTCCATTCCTCCTAATTATATCTCATATTACACTCCTTCATACACGAATCAACTGAACAGGATCAGGGTCCTTGATAGCAAAGTTCTCTGAATTGATGGGAAAGCAATGGAGTGGTGGAAGAAGATTAAAGTGGTGAAGATTGCCATCAGCCAGGATAAGAAGTTGATCCACCAAATGGGCATGAATTGAGGCATATGTTTAAGAACCTTCGGAGTTATCTCTACTGCTACTGCCACTTCATTAATGGTTGATGGTGCCTCCAACAAGAGTCGAACTTGTATGATACGATGATCGGTGGATTTAGAGTCCACTGGGTCTACCAATTCCCCCACAGAGCAGCATCATTGGCATGGATGGTCTTTCTAACCGCTATCCTCTTCTTTGTCCAAGGTGGACTTGAACCACCACTTAGAGATTATGAGTCTCCTATGCTACCTTTACATCATTGGAGGGATAGTAAATCTTCTTCTTCCTTCCCTATGACATCTTTATCATCACCCCTTAGTACAAAACACGAGCTCCCCTCCTTCCTCTGTTCCTTATTAAGTGTACCAATAAATTCCACTTA